TGGATTTGAACTCAGGTCTTCCTAACTTCAGGCCCAGCCCTTTATCTAGTGCACCAAGGTCAGCTTGGTACTCTCTTATCTCCTTATTTATCTTGGGTAACAACTCCCTGTTAGTCATTTTTGTTCTTTAATTCCTATTAAAAAGTTAATTTTTCCTTAAGAATTGAGCATTCTACTTTCTCTTTTGTTAGTTATCATTGTTCTGTCTACCCCAAGCAATGGTCCTATCCCTTCTTTGGTTTTTTTTTGTTAGGCAATTAGGGGTTAAGTGACTTGCCCAGAGTCACACAGATAGTAATTGTCAAGTGTCAGATTTGAACTCAGGTCCTCCTGACTCCAGGGCCAGTGCTCTATCCACTGAGTCACCTAACTGCCTCCCATCCCTTCTTTGAGACTCCTTTTTTTTCTTCAAAGTAGCTTTAAAAAACTAACCCTTTTTTGTCATCCTTAGCTTCCTTTGGCAGCACCAGATCATTCTGAGCTTTAACATTTCTAACATTATTTTACAGGACCACCCCACATTCATATGCCATTCTCTGCCCTTGCTTCTATCTTCAGTAAATGTCTTTTCAAAAATCTAAGTTGGGGGCAGCTAGGTGCTATCACTTAACCCCATTTGCCTCAGTTTCCTCATCTGTAAAATGAGCTGGAGAAGGAAATGACAAGTCACTTAACCCTGATTGCTCACCAAAAAAATAAATTAAATAAATAAATAAAAATAAAAATCTAAGTTGGTGGTGAGTTCCCCATGCATCCAAATCGGTCTCTTTGGACAAATCTCTTTTCTTCTTTTCACTGGAACTGTTTCCCTTTAAGATTTCAGAATTTCATTCATAGACATTTCCTATTCCTCCTGGACTGACTTCCTCTGAAACATTTCAGTCCATGGGATCCTGCCTATCTTTCTTCTGTACCCTCTGAAATCTGCCTTCCTAAAATCTAGAGCACCTGCCGAACAATACCCAGATTTCCTTTCTTCTTTCTTTCTTCCTTTCTTCTATGACAAACTCTAGGATGGAGTGGTCACTTCCCACCAAGATTCCCTCATCTCCACCCCAGCAACCAGTTCCTCCTAATATCACTGGATATTAGCAAGGGAACTTCAGAACTCTTCTGGGCAAACATCTTCAGTTGGCAGGTGGGAAACTTAATGTCCCTAGAAGGGCTCTGACTCTGTTATCCCCTACTATATAAGCCCTAGGTAGTACTTCCTGTGGAAAGATCTAAAGTTCTTAGGGAATCCACAATACTGTGCTAGTCACCTGAGCCTTCTACCATCAATTCAGCCTGAGGGTAAGACCTCCACAGCAATGCAAAGTAGAGAGGATTCTAAGTCTTCTCTCAGTTAAAGCCATACTCTTGTACATGCTGGGACAGACTGACCATATCTACCTAATGTACCCTAATGGGGAACTGGACAAATAGGCTCAGACACCAATCATTCCCCTTCAGGAAAAGGACAGACAACTTACAGCCCTGCCTCTTCGATCCCTATAGTGTCAGGAGAAATTTGCAAGACTCCTTCTAAAGACGAAACTCAGTCATGATAAATGTCTTCTACCAAACCTCCAGACATTTATTCAATACAATAGACTCATAATAAGTTCATAGTAAGTACAAGTAAACCATATTAAGTTGAAGTGAGGTGGTAACATAGTACATAGAGTGCCAAGCTTGAAGTCAGCAAGACCTGAGTTCAAATCTGGCCTCAGACACTTACTAACTGCGTGACCCTGGGCAAGTCACTTAATCCCATTTGCCTCAGCTTCCTCATCTGTAAAATGAGCTAGAGAAGGAAATGACAAACCACTCCAGTATCTTTGCCCCTCCCCCCAAAAACCAAAACCAAACCAAATGAGGTCATGAAGAGTCAGACACAACTGAAACAGCTGAACAACAACTATACCAAATGCTGGGTACCCAAAGGAGGGGAAAACATAATAGTCTCTACCCTCAGGTAGCTTAGAGTTTTCTGGGAGAAGGGGGGACTACAACATGTATACAGATTGTAATACTATTTTATTTGAAGAGAGAGATAGCAAAAAGAAGTAGCCACTGGTATTTGGAGGCAAGGATGAGAAATCAGAGCAAGCTTTCACCTTCCTGAACCATGAAGGAAGACAGGGATTCTGAAAGAAAGTGAAGGAGGGAGTGGATTCCAGGCATGAGAGATGGATATTTGCACAGACAGAAGAGAGGCATTAACAAGTATTTCACTTAGATCCCTCTTTGTTCTCTCTGCCCCACCCCTCCCATCCCTCGAATTAGAAGGAAAGCAGGAAGAAGTCCTGTAGCCCAACCTCCTAGCTAACACCAGATTCCTCTCTATAGTATCCCTGAGAGAGTTATCCAGCACGTACAGTAAGAAATAGCTCCTTGGAATAAGGTTAGGGACCTTTGACTACCAGGCCCATGCACTTTGCACTAGATATGAGACCCTGCCCAGCATTTTAGGGTGGGAACAATGTATGAAATTCAGAGAGCTGAATGATTCACTTAATCAAGCATAATAAACAACCTCAAGGCCTCTTGGTTGTTTATCATTAGGATAAGCACCTGACTCCAGAGTCAATTCAGATTGATGAGATATGACTCTTGGGACTCTGAGACCGAGATCTTCCCAAGGATCTCTTATCTCACTTTATTGAGGTCAATAAGTAAGGAAGGATTCCACAGCATACTACAACTACCAGTCCTTCTCAAAAAATACCACTCATCACTATCATAGTTCTAGCAGACACTCACCAGAAAAATAACATGCAATAACCAAGTTGGTTGAGATGACGCATCTTCTAGACATGAGAAAATACAGATAGTCCAACTGGGCCCCAATTGACCAGTTGCCCATTATACTTTTAAAAGCCCTTTCCTCCTTCCCTCAAGCTCAGATGTGGTCCTTAGCAAGAACAAGAACTCATGTTCTTATGAGTTTCAAGACTTAGCTGAAGTAATATTATATACAATGAGGTTTCTGATCATTTTCTTTGATCAACCTGAGGTGAATTACCAAAAAGCTCAGTCCAGAGCCCCTAAGACTTCTTGGTGGGCACCTTGGCATCCCAAGCCTTGAGGGGTTCCTTGGACCTATAGAGGCTTAGCAGATATGGATATTGTATAAGAATGCCTTGCTCTTCAAAACAAATGTGGAGCCTTTAGCATTAATTATTTCTCCACAGAAAACTATGGTACAATGGAAAGACTACCCACTCTGGAATCAGAAGACCTGATTTCAAATTCTGCTTCTATCACTCACTACCTATGTAACCACAAGCAAGTTCCTTAATCTCCCTGGGCCCCCATCCCCTCATTTACATAAATGATGGGGCTTAGACTTTGAGGTCTGTTTCGGTTCTAAATCTATCACCAACAAGTTACAGCAGCTGCTTTGTGGCAGTCCTACCACTTTCAACGAGGGGTGATTGCAGAGAGTTAAAGGTTTCATAGGACACGTATTTCCCAACAGTTCTTACTTCAGCTAAAACCCTATAAAATTTCATGACCAAGGAAATCTCTACAACACTTAAGAGTCTGACAGGGTTTTAAGAGAAAAACAAGGAAAGCCTGACAGCAGAGTGATTTCCACTGATTCCACAGGAGATAGGTACATAAAGTCACCAGCAGTCCAAAAGGCTATAGACAATCCTTAACTTAGAAACACAGAAAGACGGTTAGACCCTGTATGTTTCCACAGCTAAATGGTCTTGATAAATGGGCAGGCCAGATAGATGAGGACAGGATAAACAAGTCTCTACTGTACTTTGTATTCACTCTGCCTAACCTCAGAGTGGAGGCTGTCTTACGCATGACAAATTCGCATGATGCCAGGACCCTACACAAGGTTTCCAGGGGCTCAAGACAGTGCTGCTGCCCTCCAAAGGTTGGGGAGAAAGCAAGTTACCCCACCAGCCAAGTTCCCAATTGCCCTTTAACTTCTGGTGAGGGGCCCACAGCCTTACAAGCCCTTATCTCCTCAGCCTCCAGAACCTCCCCTAGAATAAAGAAGTGAGAAGGAATAACTCATTGGATAACACATGGTAGGGAAACCTAGTGATATCAACCAAAGACTGAGTCACTCTCAATCACCCAAAAAAGTTTTTAAGTGCTCTATCCCAAAGAGGGGAAGGAGCTATGTTCTCCATTCTCCAGAGAAGGAGCTTATAGCAAAACAAAGTTATCAAGGTATTTCTAGATATTGAATTCAAGTCAAAACTCCACTTGACCCAAATAATCAGTTCCTTGTGTCACCTTAGCCATGGAACACCAATCTGATGTCTTTGGGTCAGAAGGAGGAAAATAAGTATTTATTAAGACATTGTTCTAAGTGCTTTACAAATTTTATCTCATTTGATCACAACTCTGGGGGATAGGTGCTATTATTATCCCCATTTTATAGTTAAGGAAACTGAGGCAGACAGGTTAAGTGATTTACCCAGGGTCACACAGATACTAAGTGTCTGAGACTGTACTGGAACTTAACTCTTCCTGACTCCAGGCCCATCCCTCTATCCACTTTTCCACTTAGTTCCCTAGGTAAACCTACCTCCTCCTCCAGGGCTATTCTCCCATCAATACTACAGAGAAGATCACATCTATGGCTTACCCTTCCTACTTCAGAGTAGTTAGGAAAAGAAGGAAATCTGAAGGGATAACCACTTTTCAAGAGAGGAAGTTAACAATTTATTCCTTTGACTTAAAAGCCAAGTCCAGGGGTTTCTTTTTAGGGTCAGTTCCTTGAAGAGTAACTCATGCCCCAGACCAAGGGACCATAGAACACTAGACTGTATCTTTTCTAAGAAGCTTCCTCACCTCCCTTCCCAGATGAAAGGTTTCTGTTTTTCTTTCTATCTAAGCTATCTATCTCCTGGAGAGCTGGCTACCTACTTGAGGAAAAGAAAAAACAGGGAGGAAGAAGGAAGTCCAGCCAGTGCCTTCTCCCTGGCCAAAGATAAGACAGCCCAGCCACATCAGCAACACCAGAAATTTGAAAGAGAATCTCTTACCTGTATCCAGGACTGAAGCTCTTTGTTTCACCCTGGAAATTTTTTCACTGCTGACAGGTGCTAGACTTGGACCCTGCTGGACTTTGGTTGAACAAAGGTTGATTTAAAAGCTGATTTATTTAACAGGACCTTGTGGTCTAAGTTGAAATGACCTATGTCCCCCTCCCTGTAAGCTGGCCCATAGAGCTGGGGCCATGAGGGACTGCAAAGTCCCAAACAAACCTGAGTGCTCTGTCCTGAAGGAAGGGGGACCACTGCTCACCAGCAGCCACCCTGATTCTTCTTATCAAGAACCTCACCCCTCTGCCCAGCTTCTCGGGACTTATTGAGGACCTGGGATGAGGGATAGAGTGGAGAGCGCTAGCTCGCCTGGATCCAAATCCATAATACCATCTCTGGGCAAGTCATTCCTTAGTTCTCTCCCTGAGGCAGAAGAGAAGCCAATTTCACTGAGATATCAGCCTCATTTAGGCCAAAGCTTGAGAATTTACCTGTTGCAATGCTACCTGCCAACTGAACAAGACGGCTAAGGCCAGGGCAGCAGCAGTCTTCCCTTGCAGCTCTGTCTGTGTCTCTCTCACCCACACGCAGCCCTTGAATTCTTTACCTGTCTCTTTCTGCAGAGAAGCCTTCCACCTATGGGCAATTTCTTCCTCGCACTCTTCCAACTGTGGTGCCTCCTTGTTCTTCTGCCCCACAGTGGTTGGGGAGCCTCACACCAGCAACAGAGGCGGCTAGAGAAGGGCAGCAGGAACAGGCCACATGCAGCATTGAGAAGCTATGCCCAACCCTGCTCCCCAGGACAGCTGGCTTGGACAGGTAGGCCCAACCGGTTACTCTGGCCTCCAGCCCAGGCCAAAGTGATGAACAAAACAGAGATCTCTATCAATATCACCCACACAACCAAGTTGGCTGGCACTAGTGCTCTTGGAAGACCTGAATCCCCCAGCCCACAATTAGAAATGAGGGTGACAGGTAGCTCAAGTTGCCCTAAGGTAAGAAGAGTTGAACCCAACCACAGGCTGGAGACTCAGTGGTCTAATAATCCCTCTTCCACCTAGGTTGTGCTATACAACCAAGAAAACCAAGTTATCTCTTATATCCCCCATCTGCACACACTCCCCTTACGCACACACACACACAAACACACAATGTACCCTGTCCTCATAGGTGGGAGCCAGGTGGGAGCCACATAGCTATTGCAAAGAGTCCTGAGCGCATGAATGACTAGATAAGCCAGCTTCTGACTTTCTGTTCACAGTGTACCTTCATGTACACCACACACATACACCCAGCCCGTTCTGACATTTCCTCTTCTGATCCATATCCCACCTGGTCTATTCCTGGGGCCCAGATCAAGCCCCACTTCCTCAATGACTCTATCCTCAGTTACCTTCCCCCCACAGTGAGATCTTAGAGCACCTCTTGTCTCTGTTACCCAGTTGGCCTTGACAATATACAGGCATATCTTGGAGATACTGCAAGATTGGTTCCAGACCACTGAGATTAAATGACTATTGCAATAAAGCAAGTCACACAATTTATTTTTGTTTCCCCATACATATAAAAGTTATGTTTACACTACACTGTAGTCTATGAAGTGTGCAACAGTATCATGTCTAAAAACAACAATGTACATACCTTAATTCAAAAATATTGCTTAAAAAAATGCTAACTATCATCTAAGCCTTCAGTGAGTCATAATCTTTTGCTAGGGGAGGGTCTTGCCTCCATGTTGATGGGTCCTGGCTGATAAGGGTGCTGGCTGCTAAAGGATAGGGTAGCTGTGGCAGTTTCTTAAAATAAGGCAGGAATGAAATTTGCTGCATCTATTGACTCTTCTTTTCATGAGAGATTTCTCTGAAGCGTGCAATGCTGTTAGATACCATTTTGCCCACAGTAGAACTTCTTTCATAATTGGAGTCAATCCTCTCAGACCCTAAGTTTATGTAATATTCTTCAATATCATTGTGTCTTGGGGAATAGAGAGTCTCGAGGAGAGGGGGAGAGAAACAGGGGAATGGCAGGTTGGTGGAGCAGTCAGAACACCCACATTTATCGCCCTTTTATGTGGGCATGGTTTGTGGTGCCCCAAAACAATTACAACACTAACATCAAATATCACTGATCACAGATCACCATAACAGATACAATAATAATGAAAAAGCTTGAAATATTGCAAGAATTACCAAAATGTGAAACAGACACACAATGTGAGCATGTGCTGTTGGGAAAATGGTGCCAATAAATTTATTCGACGCAGAGTTGCCATATACCTTCAATTTGTAAAAAGAAAAAAAATGCAAAAAAAAAGTGCAATAAAGCAAAGTACAATAAAATGAGGTATGCATGTACTACCTTCAATTCAATTGAACATTTATTATACTATTACTTATCTTCTTCCTGTGGCTACATGTCTTCTCTCTCCTTTCCCTCCAACCCTGACTTCACAAAGAAATATGGCACACTCTGTGTCCTCACATAACTTACATACTAGTTGAGGGGACAAGACATAAATGTGTGAAAAGTCACAAAAACAACAGAAATCCATTCATTCATCTAACGAAATGGAAGTGCAGTAAATACTAGCGATCCCTCAAAGCAACATGTAACTTACTGCCCATGCATGCACACACGCACGCACACGCACACACACACACACACACACACACACACACACAAACACACTCCCCAAGCATGTCATTAAGGCAAAAGCAAATATCATTGAGTGTGTTAGCTTCCGCCAGCATGACTTCCAAGGAAGAGGATCTGTTTAAAAAGTGGCCAAGCTCGGCTCCTTTCTTGAGCTTCACAGTCTGTCCAGTTCAGCCTGATCTCCCTGGGCCAGAGGGAGAACAAGACTCCTGTCTTGAGATATGCCAGAAGATCACCTGTTCCCAAAATTACCCCATTCACTGACTCAGAAGATTTGGATTGATAGAAAATCAAGGTTCAAATCTCAACTCTGCCATTTGCTACCTATGTGACCCGGAACAAGTCATGTTACCTAACTGGGTCTTTTTCCTCATCTGTAAAATGAGGCAATCAAGACTCCATGATTTGTATAATCAGTTTCATGTCGCCTGCCTTCTCAAAGGGTGAGGGAGGGGCAAGCAGGAGGGAGAGAATCTGGAACTCAAAATTTTTAAAAATGAATATTTAACATTTAAAAAATATAACTGGAAAATGCCTAATGAAATTAAAATATATTTTTAAAAAATTTTCTAAAGACTACAGGACCCTACTAAAGGTCCCTCTTAACTCTAAATCTGTGACCATGCTATGAAATTGATTTCACAGATTTTATTGATGAGGCCTGAATGGTGATGTTCTGTTTACTTTGTCCTCCCATCCTGTTGGTATAGGAGCAGTGATTCATAGATTTGGAGAAGTAAGGAGAGTAAAATTTAATAACCTATTATCTAGCGAAAGGAAAAAGGAGAGTTGAATAGATAGGCGCTGCCCATCTCCCACCCGTCAATCTGAGGATAGAGGGAGAAGGTAATAGAAACAGGAAAGATGCCTTGTAACTGAGCTCTGAATGTCTGTCTTTGTTCTTTTTTAAAATTCATTTTATTTTTTATTCCTGCTTTATATATGCTTAACCTAGAGTAAGCCAAAAGTTCTTGATCTTATCTCAAATGAGCTCAGGTCTAGACAGAGGAACTTCTTCTATACCCAAGAGGGTCCCAAAGAGTCTAGGGGCAATCTTTGATTTAGGGAGCCAGTGAGCATTGCATGTGGATGTGGCCAGTGCCACTATATGGGCAGGACCCAGAACCAAAGTCCATCCGCTGGTTCCTGGCTATATGTGATCTTTGTAATGCTCTTCTCAGTTCGGCACCAGTCTACGTTGCCAGGCTGACTTTATATCACTCTACTTTATCTAACAGCCAAGCTGGGCTGCCTGCCATTTCATGAACGCAGCACGTACCCTATCTCTGTATCTCTCCGCTGTCTGTCCCTCAGGCCTGGAATGCATGGCCCCACCCCGATTTCTGCCTCTTAGAATCCTTCCTTAGCTTTAAGACAATTCAAGTGCGACCCCTTACGGGAAGCCTTCCTGATCTCTCTGATTGTTAGGGCTCTCCTCTCCCTAAAACTACTCTGCACTTATTCATTTATATAAATATTATGACCTTCCATACAACATAAGTTTCTTGAGGGCAGCAATCATTTTTTCATCTTGTCGTTACATTCCCCATTGCCTAGCATGGTGCCTAGCCCAAACTAGGCACTTAAACACTTACTAAATTGACTTGTGAGTCTGGGTGACCACTAGTCATGCAGCAAGGAAGATTCTTGTTCAAGTATGGTTTGGACTAGGTGGTCTCTGAGGTCCCTTTCAACCCTATTATTCCATGACTTGAACTGAATTAGATTCCCTCTCAGTTGGGCTACATTCCACCCAAAATCTTCAGACCCAGTATAATTTAATTTCTTGTCATCCCTCATCATTAACTATTCAATTCAGAAAAGCAAATTGTTCCAGATCCCCTATCCACAACTCGACCCTTCCTGTTTCTGTGCTAGATCAAGATAGAAGACCCTTCCATCTCCTCCCCACCAAGCCACGTCACTACCTCTTAAATCGAGATCGAAACCCACCTGCTGCTGAAGGTCTCAGGATGAATGACAGGGCTGTGGCTCTGAAGGTCATCTTTGTTTACCTGACTCCTAAAGGCTCCCCTGACTTTTTCCTGTCTGCTTGTCTTGGCTCCCCTTCATGATTGGAAATTCCTCAGGGGTCGGGAGGGAGTCTTCTATTTCTTTTGCATCTGCCCTAGCAATAATAATCTCTTACATGGGCATGTCAATAAGACTACCAAACACTTTCACATACATATCCCCTAGAACTTATTTGTTCTCAATGTCTTACAGATGAGGAAACTGAGGCTTAGAATGTTCAAGTGGCTTGCTCAGGTGAACTCATACAGCCCTAGAAGGACCACACACACACACACACACACACACACACACACACACACACACACACACCAGGGACAGGATTCAGAGGTTGTTCAGTCCATACACTTGCCTGAACAGGACTGGGTAGCAAGTATGTGAAGCTAGTAGTAACTGAGGGAGTACCAG